AATCCCTGGTGTACTTGGATGAAGTTGGCATTTACACCCCTACACTACTCCAAGCGATACAGGAAAGAACAGCTACAACCAGTTTTACAAATATATAGCATATATATATAGCAACTAGAGCTTCTGTTGAAGAAAAGTTCATAATAATATTAAGTCATGACTCTGTGAAGCTGGGAGTGGGATGGAGGGAAGGCAGAACTGTGAAATTTTTATCCAGGGATTTTGCTTTCTGATAGCAAAACTGAATGCAGGGGTGGAATCTGAAGAATCAAATAATCCTAATATCAACCCCAAAATAACCCTGACCCCTAACCCACAAAGTGCTGTCTCAGTCTCTCTAGCTGTTTAAATTCCCTGACAGACACCAGATCTCATCATTCGATTTACCTTTTGGGCGTGTGTGTGTGTGATGAAGTTTCATTCTTGTTGCCCAGGCTGGACTGCAGCGGTGCAATCTCAGCTCACTGCAACAACCGCCTCCCGGATTCAAGCGATTCTCCTGCCTCAGCCTCCTGAGTAGCTGGGATTAAGACGCCCACCACCATGCCTGGCTAATTTTTTGTATTTTTAGTAGAGACCAGGTTTCACTATGTTGGTCAGGCTAGTCTTGAACTCCTGACCTCAGGTGATCCACCTGAGCCATCATGCCCAGCCCTATTTACCCTTTTGTCATGACTAAATGCTGAGGAGGCTTCAGGGAACGCCGCATGACGCCCCTTTTTCTTCCTGGTGCCCCTGGCCCCAGTGCCCTCAGCAGCTCTCCCCTGCAGTGAATCTCCCTTAAGCCCTCAGATGCCTATGATGATTTGTGGAGGCAACAGGCCTTCAACACAGCTGGCACAAAGAACCACTGTGGTGGCTTCAAGCCTGGGCTTACCTGTAGCCCCAAAGCTCCCTAGAGGGTAAGGGCCTGAAACTGCATGGGAATATTTTAGGAAACAGGCAGCTCCCTCCTGCAGGACGTCTTGTGAAAGACATTTGCATGACGTAACCACTCAGGCCCCCGCGTTTGGGCCTTGGGCCGTGACAGTAATTCCTACTCTAAGCTTGTAGGTAGCTTTGGAACTTGATGAATGCAGCCAAATGATTGATTTCAAATGACTGAACCCTCACCGGACAGAACCATATATATGTACGAATTCTAAGCAACAGGATCCTTTCAAAAAGTCAAATTTATTCTTTGTTTCTTCTGATTATAAAGTAATAATACATACTTGATGGTAAAAACTCACAACATAAATATGTATTTACACAGAAAAGTGAAAGATTCCATAACCCGATACCAAGCTACAACCTCAGTCAACAGATTTTGTATCTCCTGATAGCGTTTTCTCTGTGTATCTACAGACATCTGTTTTTCCTGCTCTAAAAAGATGACACTCACTCTACACTTAGGTATCACTTCATATTAAATCATAGAGACCTACCTCATTTAAAAAATCTCCTGTAAAATATTCCATGTTACATATGGACCATCATTTATTTACACAATCCCTTATGTCTCTTTTTTTCTTTTTTGAAACAGGGTCTCACTCTGCCGCCCAGGCTGAAGTGCAGCGGTGTGATCATGGCTCACTGCAGCCTCAAGTTCTGGGTTGAGGCCATCCTCCCACCTCAGCCTCCCAGAGTAGCTGGGAACACAGGCACACACCACCACACCCAGCTACATTTTGTATTTTTTGCAGAGACAGGATTTTGCCATGTCACCCAGGCTGGTCTCAAACTCCTGACCTCAGGTGATCTACCCGCCTCTGCCTCTCAGAGTGCCAGGATTACAAGTGTAAACCACTGCGCCCAGCCAACCTGTTACATTTTTTGCAGAATAATTCTGAGGCTCTGTCAGCATTGCTTTCCCAAGTCATTCTCTGCCCAAGTCCCTCTGCCTGCTTTCTTTTTATCCAAATGTAACCTGATGTCACTGGGGTCTCCCAGAGACGTAGGAAAGCTGTTTGAACTCCAGCTCCCCGGCTTTGGGTGTCTGGAAGCCTCACTCTCATTTCTGAATCTTACTTCCTCTTGATTCTCCTAGTGCGTCCTGGCAGCCTTCTCATGCCCATCATTCACCAAACCTAGACATGAAGCTCCAGCCTATCTCCTCTAAAAGCAGTCCATTGTGGGCAAGGATTTCACTGAATTTTTGGTAGCAGAGCAGCAAAGAGTGACACTGGGTTCGGTGGATCCACCCACCATTTCTCCCTCTGGCTCCTCTGCCTCCTCAACCCCCTGGTTCCCAAGGAAAGAGCCTCTGTCACAAGTTCTCAGGAAATGTAATGCCTCATTCCACAGCCCATTGGGCCAGCTTGTCTTTCTCAGCCCCATCTCCCAGTTCTGATGGCTTAGAAGTCCTTCATCTTGTCATGTAAAAATACCACCTCTCCATTCTGAAGCCCTGTAGCTCCCAGTCTGCATCTCGCTTTGGCCATGTGTTCTGTGGGTAGCTTGTATGTGGATCATGTGAAGCCTAAAGCTCTACTCATTTGGGCAAGATGTAGAACTTCCAGATTCATCCATTGCTTAAAAGAATCCCGCAGAGTACAGTGGCTCACACCTGTCATCCAAGCATGCTGGGAGGCAGAAGCATGAGGATCACTTGAACCCAAGAGTTCAAGACCAGCTTGGGCAACATAGCAAGACCCTGTCTCTACAAATTAAAAAAAAAAATTAGTTGGATGTGGTGGCACACACCTGTGGTCCCAGCTACTGGAGAGGCTGAGCCCAGAGGATCACTTGAGCCAGGGAGGTTGAGGCTGCAGTGAGCTGTGATCACACCACTATATTTCAGCCTGGGCAGCAAAGTGAGATCCTGTCCCAACATAAAAGGAATTCCTCTTGGACAGTAAGACAAGCATGGTTCCTTTTCCTGTGTAGCCCTATTGACAGTAGTAATTCAGGATGTGACTGCTTAATCATTGGATGCCCACTGTCTCCACTGTCCTGCGACTCAGCCTCCTCTAAATGTATGCCCTGCAACCAGTTGCGTTTTTGCCAGCTTCAGAGGATGGGACATTCACTTAGAAGTTAGTATGAGAACTTTAAGCCACATTGTACTAGAAAATAAACTGAGACACATAACATGGGAGTGACTCTGGACTGGTCCAGGACATCAGGAAATCTCTTCATTCAAACACCAGTCAGTAAGATGAATTATGGAGATGTTCTCATGCATAGTCTTCCTTAGCCGCATTTGATTAATTTTACTGTATGTGGACAGCCATAGCAGTACATTCGTGTGGTCTGTTTCTAAACATTGTTTCTTGGACAATGTACGTACAGAAGCCCTTCTCCTCTTCCGACCCCAGCTACTCTACTGAGAGTAGTCCAAATGCCTGCACCATTCTTGATTATCTCATTTTATTTTTCCAATAATCTTATGAGATAAGGTATTATTACCTTCACTTAAAAATGAAACAACTGAATTTCCAAGAAGATCCATCACCAAAGTCACACAGCCAGTAAATGCTGGAGTCAGGATTTAAACCTAGTTCAGAATCACTCCAAAAGTTCTTTGTCACCAGTGGATCGCCATTGAGAATGGAACTTTCATTCAGTTCCTATTCTTACATTCCAAGGTTCATTGAGAACCATTTTCCAATCTAGCAGTAATTTCTAAATCCCAGAACAACGACATAACTAACTTAAAAATAAGTTCTAAAAGTCTTGAATGTTTGTACTTGAGAAATCTTATGTTGAATTGGTGGAGGTAGAAGACACAGAAGACTTTTGAGAATGTTGTAAAGGGAAGTCAAGAGAATTTTCAAGGGTTTAGAGGCCAATGGGATGGGCTCTGTGGTTTTAGTTTAGTTTTTTATTTTTATTGTGGAAAAAAACCACCTCTACGAAAAGTTTATAACATATGTATATATGTGGTGCTGGTTAAAAATAGAAAATTACAGTACCTGGTACCCTTCCCTGGTCATATAGCATTAGCTCTGTGCTATGTCTGTATCTACGTACTAGGGACACATTTCCCTTTTCTTGACATTATCAGGACTATTTCCTACTCATTAACCTTGATTAGAATCATTCTAGTGATTTACGGAAGAACAAATAGAAAGGGAAAGGGAAAATCATTCCTGTGATCATAGGAAAAGAACCAGAAGAAGGAGAAAAAGGGAGATGATTAAAGAGAATAGATGAATAGGTATTTTTGAGAAAACTTTTTTCTGAGGTGGAATGAATGGAGCTAGAAAGGAAAAGGCGGTGTGGGCTTTGAAAAGGAGAAAGGATGTACTGGGGCAGGGATAGAGCTATTGGCACTGTGGGTTGGAAGTTTGGCTGCTCTCCGGAGCAAGGGAGGAGGAAGCAGGGAGAAGGAGCAGCAGCCCAGGCTGGAGGAGAGGGGGCATTTGGAGACGGACACTGTCACCAGTTCAGTGAGTCATCATTTGGGAGATATCCCCTAGACTGAATATCTGAGAGTATGAATCTCCTGTGTTCTGTTCTAAATGAAAAGATCAATGCCCAGGAATTGTTTTTAACCAACGTCAAGTGTTGTTTAAATATTGAATGGGCCTGTAATCCCAGCATTTTGGGAGGCGGAGGCAGGTGGATCACTGAAGCTTAGGAGTTTGAGACCAGCCTGGCCAACATGGTGAAACTCTGTCTCTACTAAAAATACAAAAACTAGCCAGGTATGGTGGCAGGTGCCTGCAATCCAAGCTATGTAGGCTGAGGCAGGAAAATCGCTTGAACCCGGGAGGTAGAGGTTGCAGTGAGCCGAGGTCACACCACTTCACTCCAGCCTGGTGACAGAGCAAGGCTCTGTCTCAAAATAAAAATAAACATATAAATTATATAAATACTGAGTGGATATTGAAGTGAACAGGTTAGGAACTGAAAAGACAACAGCAGGAATCTGAGTAGTATTTCAGAAGAAAAAAAGGACCACAAGCCATTTAGTAGGCTAGAAATGACAAAAGAAACTAATAACTAAGCTTTATCATTAAATGCCTTTATTTAATTTATCACTATAGTTTACATCACCTTTTTTTTTTTTCCAGGAGCCTTGCAAACAACAATCTCCAGACACTCCCAAAAGATATTTTCAAAGGCCTGGATTCTTTAACAAATGTGTAAGAGGACCTAAAAAATCACTGAACAATTAATTAATTTGCAGTCATTAACAAGGAAGCCTGGTATTGATGATTAGAATTTTTAATTGGCTTTTAAATTAAAATTAGGATTTCTAAATCTAAATTTTAACTGGCCAAAAATTGAAATTTACATGGATTAACATTTGAGTCTTCTTTGGTATTTATCATTGGAAATTCTGAATACATGGCACCCAGGCATTCCTTTGACAAAGTGTGTGTCTATATGGCAGGCAGCGATGATAAGGGACTTTGATGGGGTGGGAAGAGACCCAGCTAGAAATTTCAAGATCCCTTTTTTCTCATGAGGTCCAGGAAGTAGGGCTACAAAGGAAAAACATACAGGAGTCTGGGAAACTAACAGAATAAAGATGAAAGGTTACACCCTTGGGTTGGTCAGTCAACAGAGAAATGGAGCAGGAAGTGGGGGAAGGGAGGAAAGTTTGCCTTTCTCCCATTAGGCTGAACAACTCTAAGCTTAATCCCCAGGAATTTGGCTTAAGCCCCAGGAAGGGAATGAACTTAATTATTTTTGACCCTTTTTCAAACAAAAGAGCTTTCAAACTTTGACTTTTAAGCCTCCGAGTGAAAGATCTTTGCAAGGAATTTGTATATTTTGCTGTAAGCAAAGCAAGTAATATATGCCTAAACCTCTCAAGAGCAATTCGGCTTCACTATTTGCCTTGCAGAACATTAGAAAGGTATTTAAATGTCATAAGGTAGAATACAGGAACAAATAAAAAGATATATGAAAACAAAAGCTTTTTAAAAAAATTATTCAGGTACTTTGCCGTAGAATCTATATTCAAAACAACTTTTCTCCAGTAACAAACAAAAAGAAAATCTGAGTCAAGCACTTTCTTCCAAGCCCAGTATTTAACTTCAAATCAGTAACCTAATGAAAAACTCTCTTTGTTCGTTGCAGTATTTCCCCAGCCCCTCCTCCATGCCTATTACCCCAATTCCTGAATGATGGTTTAATTCCAGGAGAATGCCCAAATCAGGATTCTTCCAAGAGAGTCCTGCACAGACCATAGTTATCCTCTCTGGTTTACAGTAGCCTGAAATGTTGCCACTCATTACTGTGGGTCAGAGTTCTCCTGGGAGATGAGGTCAGTTCTGGGAGTGTCTTGGAAGTTAGAACACACTCCATGGGTGACATGGAATGTAGCTCATTGGGGGTCCTTTACCCCAGTTTTGTGTCAGCCTACAACCTACACTAGTAAAACAAAACAAAACAAAATCAAATCAAAACAATATTGAAATTGGCTCAGTCTCTCCAGGGAATCCCATGATGGGTTTACCCTTTTGGACCTACTCTAATATGCCCAAATGAAGAATTATCTTAGAAGTACAAGGATCCACGCCAACTTGCCTTTTAGTGGATTTCTTGGCTTTCTTGAAAGGATCCTCTAAAAAACATTTTTAAGTGTTTGGGCGTTTAAAAATTATTTATGTGCTGTGTGAAGAGTAGGCAGCACCTATCTTAAGAATTCTGTGTGACCAGGAGAGGAGGTGGAATTCCTGAACAGAAGCAATGCAAATACACAGAGAACTTGGTGAGTTGGGGTCATATGTGGAAATTTAAATGGTCTATGCTGTATACCTTATTACAGGCATGAGCTATTGCATGTCTGTGTTAACTCTATTGTGTCAAAGTCATTTCCTGTTTAAAATGAATTTGTAGACCATGGAAGAAGATCAGGATTAATTATGTCTGTGAGGAAGAAGAAAAGCAAATAGCTCACTTGATTTAATTAAATACATTACAGTAATCACTACATTTCGTCCTTCAGACCTGTACTGTCCAATATGGTAGCAACCAGACACTTATGGTCACTGAGCACCTAAAATGTGCTTCTAGTGCAACCGAAACTGAATTTTACATTTTACTTACTTTTTTAAAAGTTAAATTTAAATTTAAAAGCTGATTCTCAGCTCAATTATTGGAAACTTTTAAGTACGTTTGGAACAATTTGGGCATATATGTCTATTTTTTCGATTATAAATTTTATGACATCTAAATATAGATCACCTATTTCTGTTAAAATTTAGCATCTTAATTGAGATATATTGTAAGTATAAAAACACACTGGACTTCAAAGACTTAGTATAAAAAAGAATTGTAAAATATCTCAATAATGTTTATATTGATGATATGTCAAAATGATAATCTTTTATCTGTATTGGGTTAAATAAAACATATTAAAATGAATTAGACATGTTTCTTTTTACTTTTTTAATGTGGCTATAGAAAATTTTAAATTACAATAATGGTTCACATACTGTTTCTGTTGACAGCACAGCCCTAGACTAAGTCATTTGGAATCCAAGAGGAAGTAAGTTATGAGGTTCCATTGACTGGGTAGTCTTCAGATGTGCATGGTGCTAACTCTCTGACCCCAAAGTGAGCAGTCAGTCAGGTTCCAGGCAGGTTATAGGGCAGGATGTAAAGCCAGGTAAGGTCATTCTGCACATGTTAACTGTTGATTTATAACTCTTACCTGTGTGGGTATGGCCCTTGTACAGCAAAAGCAGCTGAAGTTTGTCTTTCAGGGACCTGAGGGGGAATTCATTTAATTGTGACTGTAAACTGAAATGGCTGGTGGAATGGCTTGGCCACACCAATGCAACTGTTGAAGACATCTACTGTGAAGGCCCCCCGGAATACAAGAAGCGCAAAATCAATAGTCTCTCCTCCAAGGATTTCGATTGCATCATTACAGGTAATGTACTCATCATCATTCCACCTCATAAAATTAAAATAAGGGCTACATTTTTCCTCATGTGCAGGAACTGATATTTTTTACGTCTTAAAAACTAGCTGAGCAATTTAATTTTTTAAAAATTATGAACCATTGACAACACTTCATGCGTTTAAATGAAAAGTAAAATGGCCATTTTACTATTCTCTGAAATAATTGTATTTCTTATGAATATTTGACATCTAGCCAAGGAAAGAGGTATTAGCTCACAGTTATTTATCGTTTCCTATTTTTGCAGAATTTGCAAAATCTCAAGACCTGCCTTATCAATCATTGTCCATAGATACTTTTTCTTATTTGAACGATGAGTATGTAGTCATCGCTCAGCCTTTTACTGGAAAATGCATCTTCCTTGAATGGGACCATGTGGAAAAGACCTTCCGGAATTATGATAACATTACAGGTATGAAAAGCCTAATAATATTTTGAGTGGGAAGTTAAACTGCTTCAGCCAAAGGCAACAAGGAAGGATGAGTGGTATACGGGAATGATTTAGCAGGCCTTAAGTCATTTGAATTCCAACTCTACCATTTGCTAAATGACCTGGGATAGTTCTCTAAGCTATAATTTCCTCACAAGTATTCCCTGTGAATAATACTTAATTCACAGGGTTGTTAATAAGATAATGTGAACATATATTCATGAAACTTAGCATAGGGCCTAGTATAATACACACACAGTAAAAATTTGATTATTTTTCTTTAAAGTATTGGATTATGAATCATGAGTTCTAGTCCAGGTTCTGCCGCAGCCTATTTAGTCAAGCTGATTATATTCACTGACACCCCCCGCCCTTTTTCTTAACTATAAAATAAGAAGGTTATTTTAGGTCAACAAGTCTCAAACTTTGTTACACAAACATTTCTTCTACAAAATGTTAACGTATGCCTTATAATCAAAAGGATTTTGTGGTCTAATAAATTTGTGAACCATATCTGCCTTTTGGAGATTCATAATACATACATCTGTGGCTCTGAGAAGTCCTGAAGTGAGGAAGATTTTCCAATATTTTTCACTCTTAACTTGGCCATAGAATCTGATTTTTTTTTTTTTTTTTTTTTTTTTTTTTTTGAGATGGAGTCTCACCCTGTTGCCCAGGCTGGAGTGCAGTGGCACAGTCTCAGCTCACTGCAACCTCCACCTCCCAGGTTCAAGCGATTCTTCTGCCTCAGCCTCCCAAGCAGCTGTGACTACAGGCACTTGCCATCATGCTCAGCTAATTTTTGTATTTTTAGTAGAGACGGGGTTTTACTATGTTGGCCAGGCTGGTCTGGAACTCCTGACCTTGTGATCCACCCACCTCAGCCTCCCAAAGTGCTGGGATTATAGGCGTGAGCCACCATACCCTGCCGGAATCTAACTCTTTCTATGAAAACTTATACTTAGCTGATCTCTTTTTTTCTTTTTCTTTTTCTTTGAAACAGAGTTTTGTTCGGCTACCCAGGCTGGAATGCAGTGGCATGATCTGGGATCACTGACTGTAACCTCAGCCTCCTGGGTTCAAGTAATCTTGTACTTCACCCCCCTGAGTAGCTTGGACTATAGGCGTGTGCCACCGCATCCTGCTAATTTTTGTATTTTTAGTAGAGACAGGGTTTCACCATGTTGGCGAGGCTGGTTTTGAACTCCTGGCTTCAAGTGATCCACCCACCTTGGCCTCCCAAATTGCTGGGATTACAGGTGTGAACTACCTTGCCTGGTGATACTTAGCTGATCTCTTAAGTTTCTTTCTCATTTTAATAATTTTAAAAATTCTAAGTCATAAAATAGAACATAGGGACCCCTCTACAATTTTTATATCAGCTTTAGTTTCTAATACCTTTAAATCTGCTCTTAAGAGCACTCATATCTCCCCATAAAAGGTAACACTGTAGACAAGGCATGGAGAGTCATAATAGATTTTGCTGGTCGCTTTCAGCCTCACTGCTCAAAGGACTAAGACAGGTCTGAGGCTTGCTTAAGGCTGGGGTTGCTTAAATAAAGGGATCCCTTCCAAACTGAGACCCTTTTAGAATCCTTTTTTTCTGAAGGAAGAAGGTCATGCTTCCATTTGTCCCTAAGCCCCCATAAGTTTTCCAGTGGACAATAGCCGGGTTTTATGCAGTTGAAACCAGGCTCTTCTTACTTGTGTATGGTGCATAGTTTCTTTGAATGACTGTTTAGATGAGCACTTACAAGAGAAATAAATCATACATCTACAAAGTTTCAGAGGACACCTCAAAGCTCAGCTTGTCTAGATTGATGTCTTAGTCCCTGCTGCTGTAACAAAAATACCTTGACTGGATAATTTATAACCACAGAAATGTATTTCTCATAGTTCTGGAGGCTGGGAACTCCATGATCAAGGCACCCGCAAACTTAGGTCTGGCGAGAGCTAACTCTCTGCTTCAAAGATGGTGTTGTCTCTGTGTCCTAACATGGCAGAAGGGCAAAAAAAGATCACAGACTCCCTCAAGCCCTTTTGTAGGGGCACTAATTCCATTCTTGAATGTGGAGTCCTCACAATCTAATCACCTCCTAGACACCCCACTTCTTAATACTATTACATTGGGGATTAAGCTTCAACATAAATTTGGAGGAACACAAACATTCCAACCATAGCAGATGACAAATATGTGTCCCATACTCAGTCTTTATCCCTTCTTTCACTCTAGACAGGCATCACTAATCTATCATGGTAATCTTTCATGCAGAATACAGACACGGCCACAGAATACTTCTCAACACGGTTCTCCAGGCAATCACATTCAATGAGCTAATCAATATTGGTATACATGTTGGAATCTGATGGCCATCCTTAATCTAATGTCTCATTGTACAGAAAAGAAAACTGAACCGCAGAGAAGTTAAGTGATTTTCTTAAGATCATAAACCAGTTTCCCTGAAAAGAGTCACAAGTAAAATAATTTTGCCTATGGATGAAGCCAATTAATAGAAATAGTTAATGTAGAACTTTCTGCCCCATACTAAAGCTGTAATCAGAAGAGGCCTAAAGCCCAGATTTGCCCAGCTGTCTCTGGATTCCCTAGAGCCAACTCCTTCTGTGAGATCAGAATCTACTGATATATGTCAGACTCTTCACCAAAGAATACCAAGCTAGGCCACAGACAGAGCCTACATCATTTTCTGTGATTTCCCAAAATAACTTTCAGGAGCATCGCCCACGGCTGTACCCCTCTTTCTATTTTTGCAAAGATTCCTCTTCCTTCTCTTTCACTCCTGCCACCAAAGACCCAAAGCTCCAAAAAAGTGACCAGTGACATCTTTCTTTACAGAGGAAAGGCGAGTTATTCTAGAGCAGGAAGCAGTTCAGACTTAGAGCAACATAATTACAGGTAGAGCCACAGGCTCCCCAGACCACAACTCTAGCCTTTGGTTATCTAAGATCTTAGCCCCAATTTGAAGTCCTGGAATAATAGCTAACTTCTCCCCAGCTTCAGGTAAAAGCATAGAGACACCAGTAGGCCTGGCTTTGAATCTCCAACTCTGCCTTCTGCTAGCAGAACATCCTCTCTGAGCTTCAGTTTACTCATGTGCAAAAAGGATAATAGTTATCTCTTGAGATTGTTGGGAAAATGAATGAGGTGAATTGAGAAAGCATATAGTAGATGCTCAGTAAACAGTTTTCATTAGAACTATTATTAACTCATAATGTGTCAGGGAAAGTAATGCTTGCTTTCTGCAAGAAATGAGAGGAGAACACTCAGGCCGCACCTGTGTGTCCTGAACATGTAGAGCAGGCTGGATGTGACGCTAACGACTCAATTGTTGGTAACAAGGCCTACAAGGCACAAAGGCACAGAACTTCAGGACACTGCTGCCATTGGGCTTTGGAGATGAGCCTTGCCTAATCAACCAAGGAGATCTCTTGTTTCAGGCTGATTTGGGTGGAAGTTGTATGACCCCAGCCAGCCTGTATGTTTACATGCTCCAAAAGAAGATGGCCACACAACTAATCTCTCCTTCGTCTTTTCCCAGGCACATCCACTGTAGTATGCAAGCCTATAGTCATTGAAACTCAGCTCTATGTTATCGTGGCCCAGCTGTTTGGTGGCTCTCACATCTATAAGCGAGACAGTTTTGCAAATAAATTCATTAAAATCCAAGATATTGAAATTCTCAAAATCCGAAAACCCAATGACATTGAAACATTCAAGATTGAAAACAACTGGTACTTTGTTGTGGCTGACAGTTCAAAAGCTGGTTTTACTACCATTTACAAATGGAATGGAAACGGATTCTACTCCCATCAATCCTTACACGCGTGGTACAGGGACACTGATGTGGAATATCTGGAAATAGTCAGAACACCTCAGACACTCAGAACGCCTCATTTAATTCTGTCTAGTAGTTCCCAGCGTCCTGTAATTTATCAGTGGAACAAAGCAACACAATTATTCACTAACCAAACTGACATTCCTAACATGGAGGATGTGTACGCAGTGAAGCACTTCTCAGTGAAAGGGGACGTGTACATTTGCTTGACAAGATTCATTGGTGATTCCAAAGTCATGAAATGGGGAGGCTCCTCATTCCAGGATATTCAGAGGATACCGTCGCGAGGATCCATGGTGTTCCAGCCTCTTCAGATAAATAATTACCAATATGCAATTCTTGGAAGTGATTACTCCTTTACTCAAGTGTTTAACTGGGATTCAGAGAAAGCCACATTTGTGAAATTTCAGGAACTAAATGTTCAGGCACCAAGATCATTCACGCATGTGTCCATTAATAAGCGTAATTTTCTTTTTGCTTCCAGTTTTAAGGGAAATACACAGATTTACAAACATGTCATAGTTGACTTAAGCGCATGAGACACCAAATTCTGTGGCTGCCATCAGAAACTTTCTACAGTACACGACCCGGATGAACTCAATGCATGATGACTCTTCTTATCACACTTGCAAATGAATGCCTTTCAAACATTGAGACTGCTAGAACCAAGCACTACCAGTATCTCCATCCTTAACTGTCCAGTCCAGTGATGTGGGAAGTTACCTTTTATAAGACAAAATTTAATTGTGTAACTGTTCTTTGCAGTGAAGATGTGTAAATAAGCGTTTAATGGTATCTGTTACTCCAAAAAGAAATATTAATATGTACTTTTCCATTTATTTATTCATGTGTTCAGAAACAACTGCCAAATAAAATGTTTACATTTTCTTTCATATCCCAAAGGTAATTATTTACAGGAGTTGTTTTATTCTTCTTGATGGTATGTTGAAGAAATAGTTTTATATAATAGCGGTGTATTTGGTCAAGGATTTACGGTATGAAGAATGAGTGAAGATAAAATTATGGGTAATCTGATATTCATTATCCATAATTTATGACTAGGTTTATCTGTGGCTGATTTTGAACACTCAAAGGTATTTTCAAAGGTCATGGCCTTTAGGAACAATTTGAGGTGAAAAGGTGACAAATTAAAAGAAAGGTGGAGAAATTTGCCTACTGCAGGAAGACTGGTTTGAAATTAAGGACAGCAAGACCCAGCCTTTCCTGACTGATAGCCCCAGCTAAAATCATCACTCAGACAACTTCTAGGAGAAAGTAAAATCAAGACTTAGGATTTCAAAACTCTATTCAGTGTCTTTCTAAACATCTGACAGCTGATAGAGATTGTAACCTTATAGCATTTGCCTCAAATGCACCTGTCATGAAGGCCTCTTAATCTGATTAAGGATGTTTCGCTTCTAGATACCAATTTTAATTTGTTATTTACCTGCTGTAGAGTGCCCAAAAGGCTCATATTTGATTTTCTAAATTTCTGCTTCTAGATCACATGGGTCATTAGCACAATGCCTGTGATATAGCAGACTCTCCAAAAATGCTTTTAAAGAAGCATGTGTCCTCCTGTTATAATATCATAATAAACTTTCTGAGGCCTTTTGACCTAATTATTGCCTACCTATTAAGAATGGGGTACTGTTCAGCAGGGGTGGGGGATTTTGGAAGAATAGGGCATGGACCTTGCCCTCTGGGGCCTTAGAAGACTAACTGGGGGGTTAGAACACGAAAAACTGCAGAGCAAGCAGCGAGTGCCAAGTATCTTCTAAACATTCCAGATTATAAGTATCCTGGGAGTATCACGATGACTTTCTGGAAGTCTAGGTTCCTGTTTGCACTTAAAGAGAAGATGTAATTTCAAAGGGGGATCATGGCAAAGAAGATATTCCTGGCACGAGCTGGTTCTGCGTGCTGCCTTCATGGAGGGGGTCAGAGCTTGCTCCTGCTCATCGTTTCCCAGACTCTTTTGCCATATAAGTGGGGTTGGGGAGGGCAGCCAGCAGCCCTTGGCATACAGTGCATATCTAGAAGACTTGGGGCATCAAAGGCACACACATACTTGCATGGTTTCTGGGAAGCAACTCCCTGGGGAGTTACGCACCAGAATCAGATTCCTTTACCCATATGGGGAAGATGCTAATTCTGACATCAGGATGATGGGAGAGAATACCTCACTCCCGAACTGGGCTTTGAATGTGTTCTGTTTTTCAGTTCCCTTTTCCTGTAAGCAGCATCATATGCTATTGGAGAACACTTGCTCTGTACAGACTAGGTTGAACTCCAGCTCTGCCATATACTGGCTTTGTCCACAGGCCAGTAGCTTTAGCCCCTCTGAGCCTTAGTTTCTTTCCCTGTAAACAGGGGCAATAATACCTACTTCCAAAGATGATGGAAGGATTAAATGAGATAATACATGCACCGCAGACTTTAGTGCGCAAATATGGCCACAACAATATCTCCCATCCCATGTGCTCTGTGAGAGACTTGCCTGCATCCCATTGAGAGGCAGTATCTAGTTCACCAATTCTTTAACTTGAATGAGTTTGACTTGCTTGTCATAGAATGTGGTGGGAATAATATAGTTGATTTCTGAGGCTGGATCATAAAAATAATGAAGCTTCTCTCTTACCTTGTAAACTGGGACACTTGATTTTGGAGCCGTGAGCAGCTACCTTCAAAAGTCCTGCTAGCCTGAGGCTACTGTTCTGGGATGAAGCCCAGGTCCCATGGAGAAACCACCTGTAGGTGATTTGGTCAAGAGACCCAGCCACGGCCGTCCTCAGCCACCGGTTCTGTGAGTGAAGATGCCTCTGGGTGATCCCAACCCCAGCTGTCAATCACTACCAGACTTCAGATCTTCCCAGCAGACGCCACAGACATTGCAGAGCGGAGACAAGCCATCCCCACTGTGTCCTGTCCAAATGCCTGACCCATGGACTCTATGAACATAATAAAATGGCTTACATTGTTTTAAATGGCTACATATGGGGGTGATTTGTTATACAACAGCACAGCTGAGCACTTACTGTGGGGCTGGCACAGCTGAGCACTTACCAAGTGATAGTTATTGTTAACAGGCACCACACTCAGAAGATTGCGTACTTTGGGGTCATGCTCTACCTTATTATCTTAATGTAATTCACCATCATTTCATTTTTTGGAGAATAGCTCCTTTTAAAAAAAAATTATTATTTTAGTTTTGAGATGGAGTCTTGCTCTGTAACACAGACCGGAGTGAAGTGGCGCCATCTCAACTCACTGCAACCTCCGCCTCCCAGGTTCAAGCAATTCTCCTGCCTCAGCCTCCCAAGTAGCTGGGATTGCAGGTGTCTGCTGCCACATCCAGCTGTGTGTGTGTGTGTGTGTGTGTGTGTGTGTGTGTGTGTGTGTGTTTAGCAGAGATGGGATTTCACCATGTTGGTCAGGCTGGTCTCGAACCCCTGACCTCAGTTGATCCACTGCCTTGGCCTCCCAAAGTGCTGGGATTACAAGTGTGAGCCATCATGCCCAGCTGAGAATAGCTCCTTTTTAAAAATACAGTATCGGCCGGGCGCGGTGGCTCAAGCCTGTAATCCCAGCACTTTGGGAGGCCAAGGCGGGTGGATCACGAGGTCAAGAGATCGAGACCATCCTGGTCAACACGGTGAAACCCCGTCTCTACTAAAAAAATACAAAAAATTAGTGGGGCATGGTGGTGCGTGCCTGTAATCCCAGCTACTCAGGAGGCTGAGGCAGGAGAATTGCCTGAACCCAGGAGGCGGAGGTTGCGGTGAGCCGAGATCGCGCCATTGCACTCCAGCCTGGGTAAGAAGAGCGAAACTCCGTCCCAAAGAAAAAGAAAAAAAAAAAAAAATACAGTATCAGTGTTCTTACTTTGTGCCAGGCATTGTGCCGAGTTCAGGAATGCAGAGATCAAGAGACCCAGATTCTGCCCTATTTGTTTTCATTTTTTATTTTTAGGGTTCTGCTGTGTTGCCCAGGCTATAATGTCATGGTACAATCATAGCTCACTGCAGCCTTAAACTCCTGGGCTAAGTGGTCCTCTTGCATAACTGAGATTGCAGGCATCAACCACCATGCTCAGCTAACTTTTAAAATTTTTTTGTGGTGGCTCATGCCTATAATCCAAGCACTTTGGAGGCCAAGGTGGGCAGATCACCTGGGGTTGGGAGTTCAAGACCAGCCTGACCAACATGGTGAAACCCCGTCTTTAAAAAAAAATTTTTTTTTTTTAGAGACAGGCTCTTGCTATGTTGTTCAGGTTGGTCTCAAACTCCTGGTCTCAAGAAATCCTCCCACCCTAGCCTCCCAAAGTGCTGGGATTACAGGCGTAAGCCACAACACCCAGCCAGTCCTTGTTTTCAGAAAAGCACTGACTATTGAAGCTAGCCAACTGACTGTCTAATTTACCTTAAAGCTGGAGACCCAGAGGTGTAAGTGAAGCGAGTTGGCTGAATTAGGACCATCTTCCATCCTGATACTCAGCCCAGTGCTTTCTCCATCATGTGGTGCTACTTTTCACAAATTCACTCTCTGATTAGAACTTGGGATGTAGATGAGGAAATTGATGAGGGGTAAAGAGAAGACCAAGAAAATTAATTCAAGAAAGACTGAGGAGGAGGATGTGGGTAGGGTTCACCTTTGCAGGAATTGACTAGCCTTTTCTGAGAGTTGTCCCCTCCCCCTGTACCCTTCATCTACCCTATACTATTAAACTCTGTACCCTCTGCAGCCACAGAGGGTTGCACCTGTAATGCATTCCCAATGTTCACCTGAAATGAACTCCAGGTGTTCAATCTAGAAGCTGGGCTGAGCTCAGCCTGAGCCAAGCTTCACATAGGGAGGACTGATCTTTGAATGAGAGTTCAAAGAGAAAGAACTTTAAGAGAGTTCTCTCTCCTGGATATTTGGAATTAGGACAGCAGAGGCTGAGCCTGTTTGCCACAGACACAGGATCTGTAAGGAGATGATCCTAAATCAGTCTCCTTAGAGGCACAGGGATTGATTGAGGGAGTGCCCTCAGGCTACACCTGAAGGGAGTGAGAGGAGCAGCTAGGGCAGGGGAAGATGCTAAGCAGAGACAGGAAAAGGCAGCCTGCCCTGATCCTAGGGGCTCTCCAGGGTGTAAATTGTACCACAGAGTGTGTCCTTCCTTGAGACAAGGAGGATGGACTTTTGCACGCCCCCACCCATCTGACAGTCATCGGCCAAGAAGTGTGGGGCAAAACCTTTTGGGCATCTCCAGCAGAGAAGGTTCCAGTTGGTGAAGGACAGCCCTCCAGAGAAGGGTACACATATGAGCTGTTATTAACTGATACCCACAGCAGCTGCCAGATGAGGACATCAGCCCAGTAAAGGGCATTGGGGTGAGAGACCAACAGCGTATACCACAGTGATGGTGACTGGGGAGCTGAAGACACCATTTGGAAGCAGCCATGACTGTCCATGAGCCAGAAGAGCTGAGGAGACTGGTCAGAAAGTGAGAAGAGAATGACATGTAAGTTCAGAAAGAAGCAGAGGTGAGAAACTCCATGGTTTGAGGGAGAGCAAGAGAGAGAATAGAGAGAGGAAAGGGGAGAGAAAAAGGGTGAGAACAAAAGGGAGGAAAGAAGGGAACAAGGGAGAGCAAAAGGAAAGAGGAGGTTGGGGGGAGGGATAGTGAGAGGACGATAGGGAGGTGCGGTGTTCCACCTACCTGATAACCAAACTCTGAGAAGTTACTGTACAGACGTTAATTAAGGAATCCTCTTGAGGTCACCACCTGGGAAGGAGAAAATGGAAACAGGATTGGGTGGAAGGAGGCACTGAGCTGTGATAAAATTCCAATAAAAGCCTCAGGCAACCTGGTAGCTACTCCAACTTGAGACCACTGAGCTAGGATGTACCTTCTCAGTTGTC